TCTGGAACAAAGCAGAGAGCCTTGATTTGTTCTTTTCTCTTAGTCCCTGTTCCTCCACAGCTAGAACTTTCTAAGAAATTCTATAGAATTTCACAAGGATCCAAGAACTATCTGGCCTGGCCCAGAATTTGGGTCAGAGACCTTTATTTCTCAGGGACAGTCAGTCATCAGTCCGGATGTAACAGCCTTCAGGAGCCTTCCACAATGCCCTCTAAGCTGGTTTAGTCATCCTCTTCTCGGATCTCATTTACCTGGAACCTCTGCCAGAGCACCAAACTGTATTGAAATGATCAGTGAGTAGCTGTTTCTCCCACTAAATTGTAAGCTTCCTAAGGGGCCATGTCTTATCCCCGCCTAACATTTGTCATAGTGGACGGCACAGTGCCTAGAACAGTAAGTACGCAGGCAATGCTTGCTGAATTCCATACCCCCTGCAACCATCCTTTAGAATGGTTGTAGGGTGAAGACGGAATATTGTTGCTAGAAATGTTCCTCTCCTACAATGGAAAGCACTATTTGAAAAACATAACTTGATATTCTGTTTCAGAGAGGACATCATTTCTGTTTTAAGAAACTTGTCCAGGAGTGCCTGGCTAGTTCAGGCGGTTCAACATCTGCCTTCGACTCGGGTCATGTTTCTGGGGTCCTGGGATCGAGCCCTGCATCCAGCTCCCTGCTCAGCAGGGAGCCTGCTTCTCCCTCTCCCTCTGCCTGCAGGTTCCCCTGCTTGTGCTCTCTCTCTCTCTCTCAAATAAATAAATAAAATCTTAAAAAAAGAGAAACTTGTCCACAATCTCATGATGCACCAGAGTTGGTCAGGACCTTGGTTCTAGGTTCCAGAAATCCAAATAGAACTAGCTTAAGCCAGATGAAGTATTTATTATAATGATAATACTATATTATATTACTATAATGATAATATGTCTCCTAAAGCCCACAGAAAGGAACAGAGGTTGAACTTTGAGAATTACACATAACGGGGACTCAGACTGTCAGAAAACTTGAGTCTCATCTCTGTTCTCCTCCGACCAGCTTCTTTTGCTTTTCTGCGCCACATGGAGCAAAACATGGCCGCAATAGCTTCAAAATGCACATTTTAACGTGCAAAAAACCCAGAAAGACTAACTTCTGTTCAGGTTCACAGTCCCCCTGGGAATGACTCCAATTCACCCAACTTCATGAAGTGCTCACCTTAGACCAACCAAATGCAGCTATTTGTGGGGTTCAAAAATATGGCCAGGCTGTTGGGCAATCTCATAGGTGTCCACCACGCTTCCAAATTCATTAGTTTCTAAGAAAAACCTATAATCAAAATGGACTATTTCAAATGTATGAATGGTAGTCTCTATAAAATATAAAGGTTTTTTTTTTAAGATTTTATTTATTTGTTTGACAGAGAGAGACACAGCGAGAGAGGGAACACAAGCAGGGAGAGTGGGAGAGGGAGAAGCAGGCTCCCCGCGGAGCAGGGAGCCCGATGCGGGGCTCGATCCCAGGACCCTGGGATCACGACCTGAGCCGAAGGCAGACGCTTAACAACTGAGCCACCCAGGCGTCCCAAATATAAAGGTTTTTAAAGCAATAATCTGCAAATTTCTTTCTCTTCATAATTCATGGTATTGATAAAAAAATTTCAAAATAAATATGCCTGCTTTGTTTTAAAAATAAATTTATTATATAATAATGTTGACAGTTTACATAAACAACATCATTTAGAACATGCAAAACAATTATAAAATACATTTTTAAAAGATATGAAAATCTTTGAAGTTCCTTCTTGATATCGGACCTACCAAATTTTAAAAGACACCATTTACATTTTCGGATCAAAACAACATTCCCAAGCCTGACTCGGCTTGAGAGATTCCACTGGTCAACCAACATCAGTTCAGGGAAGAAGAAACATTTACAGCATCGTGTTCTGTTTATTTAAATGCTGTAACAAGCGTTTCTTTCAAGCACTTTGGTATCAAAGCACACCGAGAAAAAGCAAGGGCATAAATGAGCCCAGAGGAAGACTTTTGAAAAATAAAGCATATGCAGCAGGAATCTCTTGGCTATAATCCTGTTTCAAGGATGCCTATTAAGTCAGAAGGAAAACTGGATTTAGAAGATGATTAGCTGTTTGGCTTAGCTCTTAATATATTGGAGCTTTTTCTGGGAAGACAGCATCATTCTCACTCAAAACACGACGTGTGATAGGAGGTGACATCCAGCTTTATCTTTGGTCTGAATTCTCCACTTCATTTTGTGGAGGAAGTCTATGCTGCAAAGTAAAATCTGCTAGGATTCTGGAATAAAAGCTGCTTGGCTAACATCGCAACAGCAAAAGTATAGCAATTTGGGGACATCTTCCATCGGTATCTGTAAATTCCGGTCAATGTAGAAAGTTTCATATTCTATGGAATATTGGCTAAATGTAGATTTAGCTTTTTCAGTTTTAAAAGAGTCTTTATTAAATGTGCTATGGAGTTGAAGGAACATTTGGCAAGATGGTCCCCAGTAATAGATGCTTACGGTCATGATTTCATTCCATCCACCTCCACTTGAGAGCAATCACAGGTACTGTTTTTTGGAAGAACAAAAATGACCTCAAAAATGAGGTCACAAACAATGCGTGCCTGGGCTCTGTTGTGGTGTCCCTGACCATTGCCCAGGAATAAACAGCCTCCTCTTCCAGGGCTATTTTTTATCCCGTAGTGAGCATGAACACTTACCTGGGCCTTACAGACTCTCAGGCATTTCCTTTCCATCTTTATTCATTACCCTAGCTATGGAACAAATCTGTTTGCTTTACTAATGTAAGAATTTATTCATGCCACGGAGAATTTATAAAGGAGCAAAGAAACATAATAGAAGTCAATGCTGCAGAAAACATGATGGTAGAAGTACCATATATATCCAGGACTCTCCAACTTGAGTTTCTGCAGGAATATAGCCCCAGCATCTCAGAGTCATGGCAAAACACAGGTTAGTATAAAGTCTTGGGTTATATTAGTGAGTTGGGTTGTATCCACTCTCAACAACAAAAATGATAGTTAAGAACACAAACTAAAATTGGGTAAATCTTGGTTCCAATTCCAGCTCCATCAATTCCTAACTCTGTAAATCTAGGTTATGTTATTTAACTTCTTTTTGTCTGTTCCATATACGGGAAATGAGGATCATAAGAGATATCTCATAAGTTCTTAAAAGGATTAAAGGAAATGATGATATACTTTAAATTCTTGGTCCATGTAAGTGCTGGATAAATGGTAGCTTTATTATTAATTCAGTTCCTAAAATCTAAACTCCTTCCCACTTTCCTTTTTTGTTTGACTAGTAATCCTGGTAAGAAAACTTTAAGTGGAAGTTGATTAAAATTTCTTAACTGAGTGCTTTTCCCCAATTACTGAACAATAATAAAATTACTTATTATTATAAAAATAGTAAAAAAACACAGACTAACATTACAAATATAAAGTAAATATATCATTTAAAATTCATTTCTCCTGGCTATTTTCCTGAGACACATTCTGTCCATTTTCAAGTGAGCAAGGCATTTTGCAGCTTGCCACCAGCCTGGAGGTAACTTCATAGCCTGTAGGGATAAGGAAAAAGACAGCAAGCTAGTTAAAAGAAATGTACTATGCAAATTAAAAAAAAAAAGTTTAGAGCCAGCATTTTTGTCTTCAGTTCATTAATGATGAGTGTCATCCTGTAATAAGTTAGGAGAACATTATGATTTCTCGATAAATAGCTGCCATACCCCATGTACTTGCTGGGTGTTTCTGGAAAAGGAAATTCTTTCTACTGCTGGTGGAGCAATGAAAGTCACTGCTCTCTCTTGCTGGAGGTGAACAGGAAGCCTGTGGATCATTGCTACTGTTGTGACTTTAGAGGAACTAGCCAAGGATGAAGCCAACTCTTGGATACATGAGCAGAAAAAGAGAAAAAATGTTTCCCGGTGTGGGAGCCTCTGGTTCACCCAAGTGTGCAGACTACCTTCCCTCTGGACTGCCAGTTCATGTGAGCCAAAACAAGTCCTTTGTTTTAAATCAATCTGATTGGGTTTGCTGCAATCACAGCCAAACTACCCCAGCTAGCTGATGGTACTAGCCATCCTCCATTTGCCCCCTGGGAACCTTTCTTTGCTTACCACCCCCCACACTCTCCACTCCAGGAGGAGGGGGCTGACACATCACAACAGCTCCCTTGCCTCCCAGGTGCTGGTTGGGTTTAGCTAATGGGAGGCGCCTGTTGAAGATCTGAAGGCAGGAGGTGAGAAAGTTTGGGGTGTTTTTTCTGCCTTTCCTCCTCTTCCTTGCTTTGGTTCCAGCAGTGGCTACTTTCGTCCACAGATATAGCTCTTACAGAGTATAGGTCCTCTGGCGGCCAGCTTCTCAGTGCCAAAGTAACCTTCCCCAGCCCTTTCAGGCATGGGAGAGGGGCAGCCTCCTGCCAGTGTTAGACTCCAGGAGCCTCGAAGTTCCTGTGGGTTCCTCAACCCTGCCCTCCCAATCCCTCGTCAAAATCTCCTTGTTTGGATCCTGCTGGGATCCTAATTGATATAACATTTAAAGAGCTTAGAACAGTGTTCGGCACAGGGTAAATGCTCAGTTAATGGGGTTATTATTAAAACATGGTTATTGCTATTTTTTTTTAACGTGAGATGTATAAACTAAAATACCTCTTCTTTGTGCCCCAAAATGAGGAAGAAAAAGTATAAACTAACCACCACAACCATGTAGAATTAGAAAGCAGGTTGATCTCAGCACACTAGAAAAAGTATATAAAAGTCCTCTTTCCACATGCCTCTCAATGTGGTAACACACAACAGAAAGATATGAGAAAGTCTTTTATTTGGCTTCGGATTCTATGAAAAAAAGTAATTTACTTTTAGATGTTTTGAAGCACAGTCAAATTCCAATCACTGATTTACTAGATAAAGTTAAGCCCCATTTCACCAGGTAACTGTCACCTGAAGAGCATCCCATCTACCAAGTTCATCACACTCACCATTAAGCAATACTAGTCTCTTGAATATCTTCATTTATTGGAGTTATGTCTTTACCCAGAGTTTCCATTTCTTCTTCCTTCTTCCTTCTTTTACGACGCTTCCGAAGAGGGCTAGGAAAACAAGGTGTCAGACATTGGTATGGGCCTGTTAGTTCATGTGAACACTAAATCGACCATCAAGAGGGCCTATGATCTTATTTCTAAATGGTTAAAAGTTTGTAGGTTCCTTTTTTTCTTAAATATGTTAGGTTCTCTCTTAACCTATCTCTTTCCCCAGGCTCAAATGATAGCCACAGTAGGCCAACGTAATGAATAGAGTTACTTAAATAGAAAGAATATGGTACCTGGGTGTCGATGAAGCTTGGTTAGCACAAGAAAAATTTTCAGAACAAGTTATTTTATAAAACTGACAAATAAGCATTGTTTAGTGTGTGAATAAAAAATAGTACAAATTGGAAACAGACATAAGAAAACCAAGAGAGTGAGGGTAGCCTATGGCTATGTTAATTAAGCTTATAGATACATTAAACAAAGTGTTAGATACTCTGGACAGAAGTCCAGTTTCTTAAAGTATAATTCAAAATTGATGTGATAAAATAGGCCATTTCTCAGCTCTACCCCAAAACTGGTGTTATAAAAGCTCCTTTTTGCCATAACGCAGGTAAAAAAAAATTTTAAATATCTTTCCATTTTATAGCTACAAGGCATCTTACAGATTGCCTGGTTTAATCATCCTGTTTTATAGAAAATAAAATGCCAGTTTAAGGCTGTTAAGAAGGGGTGCCTGGGTGGCTAAGTCTCAGTCGGTTAAACATCTGCCTTCGGCTCAGGTCATGATCCTGGAGTCCCGGGATCGAGTCCCGCATCGGGCTCCCTGCTCAGCGGGGAGTCTGCTTCTCCCTCTGTCCCTCCCCCGTCTCATGTTCGCTCTCATTCTCTGTCAACTAAATAAATAAATAGATCTTAAAAAAAAATAAAGATGTTAAGAAGTTCGTCCAAGGTCTCAAAGATACCTAATAGCAGAGCTGGGATAAAAATAAAAGATTCTAGACTTCTGGTAGCTACACTAAAGTTTTTTTGTGAAGAAAGGAGTCATGAGAGACATCCTGTTTGGGTGTGTACAGTAGCCCAAAAGTGATTGTAGCAGTTTAGGAGGCTAGATTAGCTTCTCAGGGCAATGATATAGCACTTTATATATTTTTAAAAGATTTTATTTTTTCATTTGACAGAGAGAGAGGGAGAGCACAAGCAAGGGGAGCGGCAGGCAGAGGTAGAGGGAGAAGCAGGCTCCCTGCTGCCGAGGAGCTCGATCCCAGGACTCTGGGATCATGACCTGAGCAGAATGCATACACTTAACAGACTGAGCCACCCAGGCGCCCCAAAAATATAGCACTTTAAAAAATGGCGGTTTACCATATTCTGTTGGAGTCCTGGTCTGATACAAATTTTTATTTTTTTATTTTTATTTTTGATACAAATTTTTATAGCTTTACAAAAGAAATTAACTTAAGAATTGTACCAAAACACTCCGTCTCAGAGAAAAAAAAAAATCAAGGTGTTTCTTGATTCTCAAAGTTGTGGTACGCAATGAAAAGGAAAAACAGTGTAATCATCTTTTGTAAATAAAATCCATTATTTTATTGTGGCCGGGGGGGGGGGGAATGTTTTTGTGTGTCTGTTTCTACCTTCCTAAGTTACTGTGTCATGGTACAATTCAAGGTAATAAAAGTCTTGTTGAGCCTAATAACAAACCCACATAAAATATGACTGACTTCAAGATTCCATAATTGGCTTTTTTTATTAAGATATAATTGACATAGGACATTGTATTAGTTTCGGTATACAACGGAATTATTCGATATATGTATATACTGCAAAATGATCACCAAAGTAAGGATAGTTAACGTTGGTCAGCATACATAGTCATAAAATTTTTCTTTCTTGTGATGAGAACTTTTAAGATCTTCTCTCTTAGCAACTTGCAAATATACAATCGAGTATTGTTAACTACAGTTGCTACAACATATGTCACATCCCCTGGGACTTACTTATCTTACAACTGAAAGTTTATACCTTTGATCACCTTCACACTTTTTGTTCACCTTCTTTTTTTTAATCAAGAGATTTATGCACATTTTATTTTTAATTATAATAATTATGCCCAGTAAAATGACACAAACTATGCATCGTGTGTTTTATTGTAAATAGATACTTCAATAAAAGTGATGGCAGACCTCAAAAAGTGATTTATTTAAATCACAGCAAAAAGGAAAGAAGAAAGAGGAAGGAAGGAAGGAAAGAAGAAAAGAAACAGCAAAATACAATTTCTCAGATTTACTTAAAATTAAATTTAAAAAATACTTACTGACAGCATGTGCAGACACCGACCACCAAAATGATAAAAATGACCATAACTGCTATCAGACAAATCACCAAAATCTGCCCTCTATCTCCTCTGAGGTAAAACAAGTCAACTCTCTCACATCTCGCCCCAGTGTAGCCTTCATCACAGCTGGAAAAATAAAACAACAGGGTTAATAGTGCAAGACTTTGAAGAATCTCTACTATTTCTTGTTTGAAGAAACTAACAGTGTTGTCATTAACTGGAATTAATTAGAGGGTGCAGTTCCTTTAAAAAAAAAATTTTTTTCCAATTAAGCTGAATACCCCTGTGTTCACAAATAATTTCACTTTCTTTGCTTTGCTGAAAACCTGTCATCACTTGAATAGCAACAATATGGCTAACATAAATAAACGGAGATGATGGCAATTTACTAAAACTTAGTTTAAAGTTTTAGATTCTGAGCTTGAAAGAGAGGGGATGGTAAAATTCCCTCCGCAGCCTTCCCAAGCACGTAAATAGCAGCATGACAAGGAATTCAAAATCCCCAGGACTTCCCATTTCATTGTAGGGCACCCAACATGCCCAAGTTCTCTTGCTACAAATTATTTAAAAATTACACTACTTTTTTTAAATTTTATTTTATTATGTTATGTTAATCACCATACATTACATCATTAGTTTTTGATGTAGTGTTCCATGATTCATTGTTTGCGTATAACACCCAGTGCTCCATTCAATACATACCCTCCTTAATACCCATCACCAGGCTTTATATGATCCAGCATTGTAATGTGTGTGGAAGTTCATAGACCAATGCCTAACAGATAGAAAGCTCCATAAATGTGATTCAACAGGATTTCTCTCTCTCTCTCAACTTCCACCCACCAATTCTGATTCTGCTACTCGAAGTGGCCACACAGGACGTGATGCTCCTCCATTCACCACCTCTCCAACCACATCCTCCCAAAACACAATAAGTCTTGTCCTCTCCAGCTCCTTTATCTGATTGCTCAAGAGTCCATTTTCAGATGTGTACACCATGCCTTCCACTGTCCTGTAAGTGGCCCCTTTTTCTGTGGCCCTCATAAAGTGCAGCAACCAGACGGCAACAAATCCCCAAGGGGGACACTCACTTTCCTCAGACTCTCAACTCTTTATCAACACAGCCTTAGGATTTACCTCAACACAGCAGGTTCTCTTTGGCCCAGCCAAGGCCTGTCTGAGCAACGCTCAACAAGTTAAAAGCTCAGTGATTTGGAGACTATCCATAGTATTCTCTGCTTCAAAGGTATGTAGGAAGTTTGTCTGAGGACACTTCAAAACTGAAAACATGTTGTGACTTCAGTACCTTTGCATTAATAAGTATTTGCCCTTTCGACCCCTCAGACTCGTTCAAAACAAAAGAGATACTGGTCACATTTAATTATATAAATCTCAAAAAGATGAAATTCTGCTTCTTAAAAAGATTTCTCTGTAACCTTGGTTGTTTTTGTTTGTTTGTTTTTTGTTTTGTTTTGTTCTGTTTTTATTTTTTAAAGAAAGGATCTATTTGCCAGGCCATTCTATAGGTTATGTTTGACAGGAGCAAGGCAGTTAATTCCCATAAAGCCTATCTTGCACAAGTAAAGAGATCCCTTAATGCCAACATTATAGCTGATATAATGCTTGAAACAACAACAAAAAAAACTAGCTTGGTCACAGCCATCAACTGAAAGGTGATGCTCAATGCAAGCCAAAGAGAAAAGATATCTAATGGCGTCTATTGCAAAAGGACCCCAAGGATATACGAGGGAAAATTGCTTCCTGCAAGATAGCTAGCCATCTTTGTCACAAGGTCAGGATCACAAGAAGAGAGCTTAGAAATCTCTTGAAATATCAAAAGTCTCTTGCACATAGGACTGGAGCTGGAGGGGAAAATCACATTTAATTGCATGTGCGGGAGGGAGATTTTTTAAAGAGTTTTTTTTTTAAGGTCATAATTGAAATCTTACAAATATAGTCTCTTCCAATTAGCTTGTTTCTCTAACAAATTTACTGAATAAGGCATTTTTAAACAATAACTTTGCCTATAAAATATACAGCCCTTACTTGCTGCTCTTTTAGAATGTTTTTCTAACGATAAGTTCTGGGTTCAGTGGCGTAACCATGCTTTAATTGAATCTCTCAGTAAGCAGTACTTCTTGCAAGCTATAACCTAATAAAGTCATGCTAGAAGGTCAAACCTTTCCTTAGCCAGTTATATAGTGGCTCTCATGCTAGTTCCCTTCTCAGCAAACCAATAACATACCAGCTAATGGTCATTTCAACGGGAGAGGAAGAGATCAAGAGGGCCAGATCCTAGTAGATGTTTATTAAACGCTGAATAATTGAATAAATGAGTTTTTATTTGATAAGCATCCTATAAAATGTAAAATAATTTTTAAAAGATGCCCATGTCCCTTCAGGACTCTGACAAATCAGATTTGGGATCACTATTCTGAAATAATCAGCAGACACTATTATAAGAGATTTGTAACTCTTAACTCAATTGATCCTTATAACATCATTTGAGATAGGTGCCATTATTAACCCATTCTACAGATGGAAAAACAGAGGTATAGAGAAATTAAGTGAGTGGGGCTGGGATTCAAACACAGGAAGTTTGACTCTCAAGTTTATGCCCCAAGCACACACAACACTGCTTAAATGACCTGTGCTGCATAAATAAATAAATAAAAAGTATGTGTCTAGAAACAAATCATCCCCACTCCGAGAAAATACTGGGAAGACTGAGGGGATTTGAGTTATTGGAAACACACTTTTTTTTTTTAATGTAAAAAGCAGGAGTCCACAACTCCTGTAATTCCAAGCAAAAGGGGATACCTCTGGTTTTTCAGGGTAGCAGAGTTACCCATGGCAAGAGAGTTTTGCCTGAATCTATGCCATGCCACATCACCCAAAAGTTCAGGCCCAAGTCAAACATGTCCCACTCATCTCAGCAGTACAATTTATGGAACATCTACTCTGTGCTGGCTACTATAATAAAGATTTTTGCTTAATATAATGCTTTATTTTCAACACTTGAGAGGGAAATATTACTATCCCCTTTTAGAGGCTCAAGGAAGGTAATTGGCCCACTGTTAGCAGTGCTTATAATTGGTGCAAAGTCTTAGCTCAGGTCTATCTGACTCCAAAATCTGTGTCCCGCCTTCTCTGCTCTTTGGCTTCCCATTGGTTCTGTAGCATTTTACCACTAAGAAGCTCTTCCTGGCCCACAGGTAGGCCTTGGTTTTGACAGTTAGCATAACATTAGATGGACCATGCTAGAGGGACGTATTGACTTATTCACCAGTCATTTCCTGAACACTTATTAAATTCTGGCCCTGTACTTGGCACCGGAACACAAAAAATGAATAAGCCACGAGACCCACCTTTAGGTGCTCACAGACACAGAAGGGTGACTCAAGGAAACCAACAGCTATGCTTCAGAGGAAAAGAATTTTCACAGGAGGCTGACTGGATCTCAGAGAAAGGACATTTAACACACCTGAGTGTGTGTCCAAGAAGAGGGAAGTCAGTGCCAAAGCAGGGGTCCAGGAGGAGCTGATGTCTGAGTTGCAACTAAAACATCAGTAACAATAAACTTTCCGGACTGTGGGAGCTTGTGTGATAAAGCATGAAAAGGAATGTAGGATTTCAGAGGAACATCTGGGCACACAGTGAGAGATATGACTAAAAGGGTGAGCCAGGATCAGAGGAGCTTACGGAGGCCATAGAAATGAGTTTTAACCGCACGCTGAAGGGGGCAAGCTGTGTATTGATCTTAGGCAGGTAGTTTACATACAGTGGTTTTCATTTTAGAAGGCAGCAGTATTAAAAAACAATAAATCTGCAGACATAGGGACAAGTTAGAAAAATGTACTGGGTTAAAGGGTATTAATATTTTAAAACTCAGGGCACCTGGGTGGCTTAGTTGGTTAAGTGTCCGACTCTTGATTTCGACTCAGGTCTTGATCTCAGGGTCATGAGATGGAGCCCCGGGTGGGGCTATGTGCTGGGTGTGGAGCCTGATTAAAATTCTCAGTTCTCGGGGCGCCTGGGTGGCTCAGTCGTTAAGCATCTGCCTTCGGCTCAGGTCATGATCCCAGGGTCCTGGGATCGAGCCCCACATCAGGCTCCCTGCTCAGTGGGGAGCCTGCTTCTCCCTCTCCCTCTGCTGCTCCCCCTGCTTGCGCTCTCTCTCTCACCATCTCTCTCTGTGTCAAATAAATAAAATTAAAAAAAAATATTCTCAATTCTCCCCCCTAAACCGCCATGCTTGCATGAGCATGCACACCCTCTCTCTCTCTCTCTCTAAAAAAAAAAATAATAATAAAATAAATATTTTTAAAACTCAATATAATCAAAAACTAATGATGTAATGTATGGTGATTAACATAACAATAAAAAAGAAAAAAAAACTCAATATATTCTCCTAAGCCAGTGGGCAATTAGAGGAAATAAAAAAAATATCAGCTCTTTTCTTTCCCAACACACACACATTTTTTTTATTTCCTTACATTAGCAATTCTTATGCCCCTCTAAGTATTATCCAGTATATTTATTTTTTAATTAGATTTAATTATAATTAAATTTTGATGAAGTCCATGACCCTACACTAAATTAGGATTTGGAATCTCTGTTTTGAGACACTTATAAAAAAATTGTATACTGGGGGAACGACACATAAAAACATAAACATTCTATAAACTTTAGGTCAAAATTATACTTAAAAAATCACCTTGCTCATCCATCAGGAGAGGTCTCAGAGAGAGGGACATCTCTTTAGAAGAAAACAAATATTTCTTAAATGCAAAAAGATTGTCTGTGCCTGAACAAAATTAAACTTGGACTCAATCTCCTAAGAGGTGGAAAGAGCACTTTTCTTCCAATCCCCTTCATAATAAACAGGCTTTGCAAATCTCTGCTTATAAACAGACTCATTTCCTTGCACTTCATTGACACCTGCAAAAGTAGCTTTTAATGTGGCAGAAAACCCTCCATATTTACATTAACTACAAACCACTTCACACATGCCAGAAGAATTCGCTTCCATTCGAACCACCCAGGAGATTAATGGAGCCAAAAAGCATGCTTCACACCGGGCAGAAAGTTCTGCTTGCGGAAGGCAGCAGAGGACACAGCCTGTGAGCGGACCTGGACTCTGGCAGGCTCCCATTTCAGGAGGAAAGTGGGCGTCCGTTTCTCCATAAGCAGCTGCCCAACGGCCCCCGAAGCAAGTGCCCGGGGCAGGCCCAGGGGAACGGAGGGGGTTCCAGGAACCAGGGGCTTGGTTAGCTCAGACTTTCCAGTCCTGCCAAGTCCCAGGCCGGCACCGTTGTGCACCCCTCTGCCTGCTGGCTGGGGCGCTCCACTTACACGCAGGACGGCGTCTGCTCCGCCACCACGAAGCGACATCGCCCTTTGATGCAGTAGTGCTTGTATTGCTTGGGGCACCGCGAGAAGTGGCCTCTCCGCCTGGCTTGCGTGGTGGTGGCTGCCAAGTGAGAAAAAGCCCCATCAGTCCACTCACTTCAGATACACATCGGTGCCTAGAATCCTGTTCCTCTCTTTGCCGCGGTTTTTCCTACAGAACATACTCCAATTTCTCGGTTCTCCTTCTCTCCACACTGGGATAAAAGCCAGACTTTTGTGGTCCCCAAATAGCTCTAAAGATAGGGTCTTGGGGATCCTGGTGGGAATGTTGCTTATTTTAATTAAGATTTGTGTCCAGCCTACCTCTCAACACCTATGAAACCTTGGTGTTGCTTAAAGGGTGAAGCATAGATGCAGTGAGAGAAGACTACACTTTCTGGGAAGGTTATCAGAGCCTTTTACTTTTCATTCAAAAAATAACTCTTTTTTCTTTTCTTTTCCTTTCCTTCGCTTCTTTCCTTAAACATGCACATAACATCAAGTGCTGGATACTGGTCATATACTATATATATATATGTTAATATATAGTAACTTTATGCTTATAACAGCCCTGTGAGGTAAGCATCATTCTAATATCCCATTTATGGATGAACAAAGAACAACACATGGAGGCTAAGTCACCTTCCAAGATCACACAGCTAGTAAGTGGCAGAAGCAAGACTCAGACGCAGTGGGTCTTGCCCTGGAGTCCATGACTGTCCCACTGTGGTGCTGGGCCAAGCCAGGTGTTCAGCAGGGAGCTGTCATCTGCTCTCAACCTGCTGCACCCAGTCGTGCTTGCCTGAACCAGAGATTCTCCCTCACAGTTAACCCCTGAATGGTTTCTCTTGCCCTGAAGAAAGGAAAATCCTGGAAGCTTCATATCCAGGATTTCGATCCTGCTCGGACTTCCTTGTCTTACCTTTTAGAGTTTTCATTGCCTAATTTTTTAACTGGGGATAGAAATATGTAACAATTTCTCCCTTGCTTACATGTAGAAGGTTTTAATAAATAAGGATTGACAAGAGAAACAGTACAGAGATACGGACTTGCTGTTCCATGTGCTGATCCACACCAGACATGTGCCCACACCCAGACACTACAGCTAACTAGCCAGCTCCGGCCAAGGGTTGGACTTCCCCACATTCGTGGTGTGACCAACAGCGTACAGGACTCAGACACCTGTGGAGCCAGAAAGACCCCGATGTTCACTTCAGAAGGGCGTTTCACACGAGGTTTAGTATGGCACCGGGCATCCCAATGACCTGAATAGTAATGACTCCTAAAACGTCTTAATTAATACGATAAAATGAGTATATATAATTGCCCAGGGCCGCCAAGGAGAGGAATTGCCAAGAACTTCGGATGATCTATACACAGCAAATTCCTGTGATGCCAGGTCACAAAGTTTCAGGGGGTGGCAGAATGTTGCTGAGGAACTGGCTGACCTGGTTTGGGTTGGTGACTTGATTACCAGCTATGCTGACAGTTTGTGCATGCCAACATATGCTCCCATGCATGCCAATCAATGCGGTTCTTACTGAAATTTCTTCCAGAAATAACTGCAAAGTGTCTTAAAAACAAAGATCTGTATGTTTTGACAAATAAACTTATCAGTCAACTTTCATTCATACCTGCTATTTCCAGAGCCCTGTAGTAAGCCCTGGGAAACATCAGAAGAGTAAAGCATGTCTTGTCTATCTAAATTGGTACAACAGAACACATTAAAGATGATAATAAACAACCCATCGATAAGAACAGCCATAGTAACCACATAAACAGTTGTGGCATGCTGGAAACAGTGGAAAGAAAGAAGACCAGATTAGGAGGAAGGAAATCAGTGTTTTTAGCTCTGCCTGTCCTTAGCTGCATGGGTCTGGGCAAGCTTAGAGGGCTGTTATGGAGCTCAAATAACTCACGTGGATGTTCTTAGCAGAGGACCCCGGACAATCAAGTCCTCAGTAACTGAATTGATGCTAGAATCTTGAAAATCTTGGAAATTCTAAGAAAAATCTTGTATCATTACAAAGAGTGCTTATCTAATGGAAGAAAATGTTCTGGAAAATATGGATTATTTTTTTTAAGAGGAGGTAAGCAAGCTATTCAGTTGTGAAGGATGTTAGGAGAAAAAGCTCAGGGTCAGGAATACGCAAGCCTGATCATGCAGCGGGTAGGAAGCAGATTTAATGGAGATGTAAGGGGACCTGGTGGGGAGCAGCTGAGGACGGCTGTGAATGGAAGTTCGAAACCTCAAATGTCAGTAGGCTGAGGTGTTTACACTTGAAATACAGGGCAAGGGAGAGCTGAAGAAAGTTCTTATGGATTACATTAAATGGTATATGTAAGAGCTACGCTTTTTGAGTTTAAAATTGTATCAGTGTATTAGGTAGAAAGCTGCTGATTGGATTAGAGTAGGAAGAGTCTGGGAGCAAGGAGAAAACCATTGGCTGAGCCATGCAAACATACGTGACGTGGGCCTGCAGCAGGGACACGGAGGTCTAGGAAATGAATTTAAGAAGCAATAAGACTTAGTGACAGATCTGCTGTGCTCCAGAAAGGTCCTTCCTACTTTGCAAAGCATCCCTGACTTTAAGCATAAGCCATGTGGCTCTGTATCCTGAGCTTTAGTACTTCCTCTAGTTGTTAGGCCCCTTTAAATGTAGCCAGCCTTTTAATAAACACCACACAGAGCGAGATACCAGAAAGTGCCTTGACCAGCAGCTGCTGGTTGCAGTGACTTGACCGGCCTCAGCCGGTCCAAGCAGCACAGACCCGTGCCAAGGAAATGGTTGCCAGGCGCTGTTTGGATCATTCACAGAGCTCTCTCCTCTGCCAAATAAACATGATCTTAAATATTCCCAGAATTATTTGGATTTAAAAACACTTCCATGCCACCAAGCAGAAAATATCCAGTGATTTCTCTATGGAACTTTAAAAACTGGAGAAAAATACATCACACATACTGCGCCGCCCTCCCCCCACCTCCCCAAACAGATGGGATCATCTCTTCTCTCTGATGGAAATGAGAAGGCTTATCAGCATACCCCCTTTCAAAACGCACCTTCGATTCCAGTTCTCTTCATCTATTATTCATCAAGGTCACATTATCTGAAAATTGAACAACTGTGAAATCTAACATTTTCTGCCTATCATGAGACCTGATGACATAGGGCAGGGGATGGCAAGACCTACCTTTCCATTCCAGAGATGTTTATCAAGAAGGAAAAGTTAATCCTATGACAAAAGAATGATTCGTCCCATGTATTGTTTCTTTGTTGAGAAACGAATGACCTGGTCTTGAAAACCTAACATGAAAATACCCCTGATACCGGGGTGGTGGAACCTAATTGATCTTTTTTCCCTCCTACCTTACTCTTTTCCAACCCACGTTCCCAAAACCAAAACATTCTCTGGGAGTGAGTCGGTCCCACAGAATTGCACTGTAAAACTACAACGGAAACTCCTAAGCGGATGGGCACCACAAGTAACGTATCTCAATCTCTTCTTGAGATGCCATATTCCAAAGATTCTAAAGCCAGTTAGATAAGAAACTACGAGGGTTCCTGTAGGTAGGTGTATGACAACATCTAATTCTAAGTAAGAACATCTTTCTTCGATCATATGGGCAAATAGACAAGAAGTGGTCACCTTCCTTGGATCACATGAATAGTTAGATGAGATGTGATAGATTCTCTTGGGTCAAACTTACGTGGAGGAATAGACCACACACTCAAATGACTTAGTTTAAGTATGGAATTTTTCTCAGTTTGATGGCTGCTTTGATTAAAGAGCACAGTTCCCTGATCTTTCTTGTACACGATTCTTATTCTCAAACCCAAACAGGTCTTGTGATGCTTTATGTTTAAAACTCCTCAGAATTTATACATTAGCTTTATTTTTCATAAAACATTCACTTAGTTCTTCCAGTTGTGCTCATTACAAATCTATTTAATGATCTTATAAATAATATTAATATCAGTAGCTCTTCTAAAATCAACTCGAAGTGTAAAATATTTTATGTAGTTCTCCTTACAGTGTGATAACCTCATAGTATCTCTAACCCCCTAGTTAAATACATAGTTAAATCTCTGTGCAAGAGATTTAAAAGGAGGGCCTAAATTTTGAGATAAAAGTCTCAACAGTGTTAACAAGAGAGAAGGAGTAAAACAAATACCTATAGATTTTTCTTCCCACATAGATATCTGACCTTAAAAAAGGAGCAGCTAATGCACAGAAAAGTTTAAGTGGTCACAGTTTAAGTTTGCAGAGAAGTTTCTTCCTAGTCTATGATGTAGAGGCTAAGACTTTAACCTCCAATCCTTGGCTTCCTGACAACTTCCCAATAGGGGTTTCCTCCTTTAACAACCTTCTTAAAACAGGAGATGAGGAAGAAAGTTTTATATTTTCTAAGTTAATTTCCCTTCTTATCTTGCCTGCTATCTCCCTGAGATGGGGGAATATAAATTCACACCATCCTTGAAGAAGTGCAAAATTTGAAAATCTCTCTTAGCTGAGGATTCCCATTTGTGTTACATCCAATGCCATTTCCTACAGAAATGGAAAAGAGTTGGTGACGCCAGGAAAAGAAAAATAGATCTCGCAGATGTACTTGTTAACGCTCCAGTGTTACTAGAATATGCTTAGGCAGGAGGCTAACCAGAACAGATCTGCATGTCTTTTAACCAGGGGGACTAGGCCAGTGATTTCTCAGCTTACAGGAGTGGGTCTTCACTTACAGCTGCCCTTTTCATTCTATCCCTTTAAAGGAAGAAAAAAGAATTTAGTGTTGATGTGTAAGTGTATTTGCATGTTTAAAATTATTCACAGCTGGGGGGCAGACAAACAAAAATGAACAGGAAGAGAACTTGTATTTCTTTAGCTTTTCAAGAGCGCAAGCTATGGGATTCTGGTATATATAATGCCTCCTTTGCTCGGTCTCCTTTGCTGGTTCTTTTCCATATCCTCCAGCCTCTAAATTTTGCAGTGCACTGGGACTCAGGGCTTTCTCATCTCTTCTCTCTACACTCCCTTTCTGGGCATTTCCTGGCTTTGAACGCCTTCATGGTAACAATCCCAAATTTATGTTTCATCTCAGATCTCTTCCTTCAATGTCTAAGAGTCCAATGAACATCCCCACTTGGTTGTCTAACTGGCATTTGAAATTAACACTACCCAAATGGAACACCTGATTTCCCCCCTCAAATCTGGTCTTTCCTCATCTCAGTAAATGATAACTACATTATTTCTGTGATTCAGGTCAAATATCTTAGAGTCACTTTGACTTCTTTCTCTTTTACTCTACATCCAATTCATCAGAAAATTCTATTGGTTGTATTCAAAATATATGCAGGTTCATCCCTCCATCTCTACTCCCTTGGTCTAAGCCTGATATTTATCTCTAGACAGGAAGTAGTCTCCATGGCAACAACTTCTAACTAGTCTCCCTGCTTCTGTCTATCCCCTCTTAACTGTCTCATCTGCACACAGACACCATTTTGCTATTGAAACTCAAAGCTGAAGGTTTTATAATCCCCAGCAAGGCTCTACATGACATTACCCATTACCTCTCTTTCTCCATTACCTCTCCAGCCTCATCTTTGACTATGTTGTTCATTGTTGCATCCGGAGTACCTGGAACAGGGCCTGCTGCATTGCAGGTACACAGAAGTATTGGTAGGAATGAATACATTCCTTACTCAAGGCAGAAAAGGACAAACTAAAAATGAAATGCTTAGAGATTGGGGCTATTTGAAAATAAAATTATAAAGTCATTTAGAAACCAGAACAACTAGTAAAGATCATCTGATTCATTTCTTCATCTTACAGGTTGCAAACTGATGTCTAAAAGCTTAAGTGACTTGCCCAAGGTCATGCAGTCAATAAAGACAATATGCTCCTGCTCCACATTAATTCCTTTTCAAGAACAGTTTGTCCCTTTTGGGCTTTACTTTCAAGGATTATTTTTCAGAATTTTCTTTGCATATTCAGCATTGTGATCTTCCCACATGATTCTAGCAGTTTAGCATGGTGATTAACAATAATTCTGGAGCCAGTCTCTCCAAATTCTTGTCAGGCTACTCCACTTACTGTGTGACCTTAAACAAGCTAACAATCTTCTGCATGGGAAAGAAACAATTAATAGACTGAAAAGGGAACCTATAGCTGCTATGGGAAATATTATCGAGTTTTCTAAAAGAAAAAACAAAACAAAACAAAAAAAAAACCCCTGAAAAACAGAACTACTGTATGATCCTGCAATCCAACCTCTAAGTATTTATCCAAAAGAATTGAAATCAGAATCTCAAAGAGATACTCACACTCCCATGTTTATTGCAGTACTATACACAATAGCCAAGATGTGGAAACAACCTAAATATCCATCAACACATGAATGGATGAAGAAAATGTGGTTTATTCAAACAATGGAATATTATTCAGCCTTAAAAAAAGCAGGAACTCTTGCCGTCTGCAACAACACGGGTGGACCTTGAGAGCATTATGCTAAGGGAAGTAAGCCAGTTATAGAAGAATGAACACATGATTCTACTTAAAAAAGGTATCTAAATAGCCAAATCCACAGAAGCTGAGAGTAGAATGGTGGTTGTCAGGGGTCGGGGGGTGGAAGTATGGGGGGAATGAGGAGTTGTTGTTTAATGGGTATAAAGTTTGGGTTATGCAAGATGAATAATTTCTAGAGATGTACTGTACAACATCCTGCCTATAGTTAACAATCTTATACTGTACACTTGAAGTTTTGTTAAAAGGGTAGATCCCATGTTTAAATATTCTTACTAAAATAAAAAAAAAATAGGCAACACATTTAGGATAATGATGAAGCAGGTTTTTTAACACTGTCAATCACTGGATGATGGAATAATCCCCCAAAGGAAATGTGAAAATGCCATCATTGAAGATATTCAAAACTCAGCTGAAGAAAAGCACACAACCACATAAAATTGGCCTTGTTCTTCTCTCTACATGAGTGACAAGACCCACACAAGCATGACCTAAGACACCAATGGATTCCACAGCCTGTGGGCACTTTCCAGACCACCTACTAGTATGAGGGAAGAAAGAGGAAGACTGGGCTGGAACTGATGACTCACATCAGGACAACTTGCTCAGCATGTTCCTGGCTCAGTTATGACTTCTCCAAGGTGCTAGGAAAGGCGCACTTAACACCAAGTCACTACCCTCTCAGCTCCAAAAAGTTTCCAGGGAATATAGGAGGCTCTCTCCAACCTCCTTTTAGAATTGGCCTGTGTTTTGTTTTAAATCAGAAACAACCCCTGTAGAAGACCAGACCACTCGATCTATAAAGGACAGACTAGGGGTCAGTCAAACTATGGCCCAAGGGCCAAATCTGGCCCACAGCCTGTTTCTCTAAATAAAGTTTTATTGAAATACCTCTAATGCCACTCGTTTGGAAAGTGTCTATGGCTGCTTTCGCAGTACAATGTCCAAGTTGAGTAGCTGTAAAAAGGCGGCATGGCCCCCAAGACCTAAAATATTTATTATCTGACTCTAGATCAAGGCTCATCCCTACTTTGGACTAATAGCTTTGAGAATACTGAATCAAGCATCTCTAAGGTAAAAATATGTAAAAGTCATTGCCTTCCTCCCTTCTTTTAAGTGTGGAATAGAAAAAAAATAATTTGAATAGAATATGCCAAGTTTTTCTGAATCTCGTTGAAGATATTCTATGCTTGAGTCTGGAGGACACACCTGAGACACCTAAAATAGTGTCATTATTAAAAATGGAAGCACTGGAATCAGAAAGACCTGAGTATGAATCCCAGATTTACAATTTACCTGCTCTGTAACCTTTGGCAATTTACTTAATCTTTCTGGGCTTCACCTTGAAATAAAGTCAAAAATACTATCCAGCTCAGAGGGCCCTTGTGAGGAGTGAAGGCATTACTATACATACAGCACTTGGCAGAGAGCCTGGGATATTAGTATGTGCTCAAAAAACTACCTAGTTTTATGATTTCAAGAGTATTAAAAATTAAAATTAGGGAAATCAACTTTCCAAGATTGAACATGAGGCTGATAAAATACAAATGCATCACTTGTTAAGCATTACCTGCGCAGTTTTCCCCAGGATCTCCACAGAGAAGGCCATCCTTTTCAGGACTCCTGGTTGAATTCCCATCTGCCACAACACAGTGGAGGATCACTAGACCTTAAAGTTCAAAACAGAACCAAAACAAGCATGAAAACTTGAAAATTTCCTCAATGCAAAGTACTCTACCAAAGTCATGACCCATTTATGAAAATAACAAGGCTGTGGCTTCCATTTCCAAGGCATTCTCCCACAGCAAGGGGGAGTGCGGGTGGGTACACAGGCCAAGTTGGAGTCTAATTTTTTTAAGCTCAATGACAAAGACAGAATTTTCAAGCCAGCATCCCTTACATGTAACTGTGCATCTTGAATGAAGAGACTTGGCCATAGCTCGTGATGGAGACATCACAGAGGCGGACAAATAAAGAGAGTTCTCGGCCGATGCACAAATACACTGATGAATTTCCAGGGAGAATGGATGACAAACCCACGTGTAAATGTACTCTCTCCATTCCATACAGACTCAGTGTTTCTCGGGTATTGACTACTGTTTGTACTTCCTTCTTGGGATGTGTGAACTAGATATTCAATTCGTGGGAATTATTTGAAAACTGTAGCTTCCCTCAGCTAAGTATCCCTGTTGCTGAGAAGGACAGACATCATGGAAAGATATGGGGGTGAGAGGAATACTCTGTTGTTAGAACAGTTTAAAATACAATGTGTAGTCCTTGTGTGGACCTGATTCAAACAAATCAACTGTAAAGAGTCACTAATGAGCTAATCTAAGAAATTTGACCCCGACTAAACATTAGATAATATTAAGGAACTGTTACAGATAATTTGAAGTGTGATAATCATACTGTGGTTCAGGTTAAAAAACAGAGTCCATATGTCTTAAAGATATAAATTTTAAATACTTATTAATGAAATTAATGTCTCCAAGATCTACTTTAAAATAGTCCAACAAGGGGAGATGGGTGCAAGATGCTGAGAGACACTTACAGATGCAACAAGATTGGCCACACATTGATAATTATTGAAGCTGGGTGGTGGCTATACCGAGCTTTATTATGCTCTTCTCTCCACTCTCATATATATATTTAAATGTCTATAATAAGAAGTTGAAGAGGGCAGGAGAAGGTAAGGGAGGGCAGATGGGGAGACATGAGATGGCTTGGGAGTTAGCTAGCCCTGAGTTCACGACCTGTTTTTGCCACTTTACAGTCATGTACCTTGGGCCAATTTCATAACCTCTCAATTTCCTCATTGGCAAAGTGGAGATAATTATCTCTTCTTCAGAGCATGGCTGTGAGGGTTCAATTAGGTAAGTATACAAAACAACACAGTGGTGGCATGTAATCAATGCTCACTTAAATTACTCATTATTATGTAACTGGCAGGAATCGAGTAACTTGCCCACTGGGTATACTGACATTTATCCATTTAGCCAATGGTTTCTAAACTATGCATGTTCTCTAATTCAACTCAGTTCAACAAACATCCATGAGCATCCAGAAACACACAGGTGGATAGGACAGCCTCTACCTTCAAAGTGCTTCAAAGCTAGTAAGACAGGCAACCAGCTAACCAATTAACCATAACAGGAAGTGAGACTTTTGTGCCAGAAGCAATAGCATCTGGCAAGTTCAAAGGCCAAAAGAGTTTTCAAAAAGACTCTTTCAATATAGAGACTCTTTTCTAGCTATCTAATTAGGAAAGTTTCAAAAAAAAAAAAAAGGTGGTAACTAGCATTGGAAACAGTGAATAGAAATAGAAACTCAAATCCACTGGTGATGGGTAAATTAGCACTATTTTACTGGAGGACAATTTAGTACTGTATGTGCTAAAAGCAAAAAAAAAAAAAATGTTCAAATGCTTAAATGCAATCATTTCATTTCTAGTAATTATTCCGAAGGAAATAATCCAAGATACATTAAAAAGGTTTAGCTGCAAAAATTCTCTACATGACATGGGTTATAAAAAATTGGAAATTCCCTAAATATCTAATAAGATAGAGTTGATTAAATACATGGAACTATTTTTATGCAATAAAATACTATTCAGGCATAATTCAAACAGTAATAGAACATTTTGATATATTCCTAAGAAAGATAGGCTATAGAATAATAATGCAGTGTGATCCGTGTGTTTGTCTGCATCTGTGTGTGATAAGTGTAAAATATGTCCAGATAGATAGATAAGCAAAAGGGTGGGTAAGTAAGTAGATAGAGAGTTGCTCACATTGGTTAGGAGACTTTTTTCTTAATTTTCCTTATTTGCACTTTCTAATTTTCTAGTAGCATATTTTATTTGTTGCAACAATAAAAAAAATGGAGTGTCTCCCCAGTTGAAAAACACACACACACAATTTGGCCACCAAATTTCTAGATTTTTCATACCTTTTATCCCAATACCTGCCACCCTCCTTTCACACTTATAACAAACCAGAAACATATAATCATTTAGGGCTTTCCAAGCATGCTGATTGTATATTTACTCATCTTTGTAATCCTGGTAACTAACACAGAACGCAAATGTTGAAAGAATGAACAAAACAATCTATAAAAGAACAAAACAACTTTCAGATTAAAAAAGTCCCAGTATCCGTTTCTAGTGGAAAATCTCAATTTCTTTATTATTATAAAATAGGTTTAATTCATTTTTAAATTCCCATACATGAGCTTTCTCCATGGGCAGAATCAGGAGGCCTTAATTCTGGAGTTAATCTGTTCTAATGGTGGGAATTTTACAAAACGCTCTAAATCTTACAGAGTTTCCACATCCACAAACTGGGGATGGCCATATTCCTTCTAGAGGTTATTGTAAAAATAAAATTAAGTAACATAAGAAAAGGCACGTGGCTTGGCACCTAGTACACAATTTTTAGTCCACTCACACTCCTTTCTGTCACTTATAATTTGACCCATCGTTCTCCACTTCCACTTAAAAGAGGGAGCCCTGCTTCCACTGAAACCCTGCCCAGGGCCTTCAAGCATTCTGGCAGGCTGGGGCCTGTGCCCAGACTCTCTTCTGCTACGACTCACTCCACATGCTGGCACCAACTGAAGAAGGGATGCCATTGGGGAGAGGTCTGGACAGGACTCCTAGGGAGGAGGCACTCTCAGGCAAACCAAGCAGCAAGCACAAGGCACTGGGGTAGCCTGAGCTATTCTACCCACCCACAAACTTCAGGTTAGAGTCACAAGCTGATGGCCATGAACCAAATCCACCTGAAGAACCATTTTCTTGATCTGCATAGTTTCAAAAATTGAATCATGACAGTTCATCTTAAACCCGGATTTTTCTGCTTCTACTGAAAAAGCAGAAGGTCTGGCAACACAGGTGTGAAACACCTTCTCAGCAACAGCTGGGCAAGGCTAAGCAGCAGGTGACCCCCTTTAATGCCACAGACTCCATCAGGCTTGCTGCGCTCATTTACTCTAACTGCCTAGACCCTGACAGGCATTTCAGTTTGTGATCTGTGTGAAGTGACTCAGGAATCACAGAAATGCTCACAAAACCATGTACTCAATACTGAAGGCTGCTTCAAAGAGGAAAGGCATTCCTGTTCCATCCATAATTCAACAAATATTTATTGAGTACCATGACACAAGGCACTGAAGGTTCAAAGATAACAGATATTATCGCTGACCTTAAGGAGCTCACATTCTGGTAAGGAAGGTAGACACACAAATCTTTAAGGTGTAGTGTAGTAAGGATAACAACAGAGGTGACACAGGATGGAGAATCAAATCTACCTAGCTGCAGACTTGATAGAGAAGGTGAGCACTGTGGGGGGTTTTTAACGAGGAAGAAATGATTTTTTTTAAAACATCAATTAATAACTTCCAGAAGATAAAAATTGTGTAAGCAAGATAACATAATCATTGATGTTATTTGTTTCAGCAGTAGACAAAATTTATATGGTAATAATAATGTAAATACTGATAATTTAAATTATTATATCAAAAATTATCATAAAATCAGGACCAGTAATTAGCCCACATACACCATGTGGAGAAACTGCGGTGATTTATCAGTATCTATATGGTGTTTTGAGCATCACCCCTATAGTGATATACTGAAATTAGGAGGGTAGAGAAACTCAATAGGTAAAAATTAAACTTGCCAGTTCAACAAATAGTATTACAAGCAAGTGATTTAGCAAGATGGAGGTAAATACAGAAGAAACACTTAAAAGAGTCAGAAATGGTTGCTTCTAGAAGATGGAGAGGAAGGAAGCCGTGGTGCCAAGATCTGCTCTTTGTTGTTATAAACCTTTTAGTCCTGTTGGATTTTTAAAAATCTATGTATATTTATTACTTTATTAAAAATGAAATTAATTTTTATGAAAAGTGTAAATAAAGTTGTAACTAGCCAAGGCATTCTAAACAAAAGGGACAGCTTGTAAAAGGACACAGTATAAGTAATACAACCTGTCTGGTTTGTCTGGCGGGTGGGTGGGGTTTGGGATGGAGAGGAGGCTGGGGGGGGCAAATAAATGTGGCCATCTTAACTACTTTGGATTCTGTTAGGCACCTAATTTGGGGTCATTGAAAAGCTCTAAGTGAGAAATAACATAATCTTTTTGTTTGTTTGTTGTGTGTGTGTGTTTGTTTGAAAAGGTTGCTTGAACACCAGATTAGGTGATTCAGACACACCTAAACCTAGGTGGTGGCACTGGGTATGGAGAAGAAGAAATGAACATGAGGGATATTCACAAAGTAAAATATAAAAGACTTGGTGGCTGGTGGGATAGAGTGGGAAGTGAGAAAAAAAGAAGTCTAGAATGACCCCAGGGTTGGGGACTTGAGTGGCTGGCTGGACTGTGGTACCAATCACAGATATATGGGACACCAGAAGACAAACATTAGGGAGAAATACTAGTGGCCTAAGAAGTATGCAAATGATTTCAGGTTACCCTTCAAAGATGTCCAACTGAGAAAGGGAGGGGAAAGATTAGTGAATAGATAAAGAAAAAAAGGGAGTTGTTTTTGTTTTTAATGTGAGAGAAAATTGATAGAAAGAAGCAAAGGTATAGGAAAGAGGCAAAGGACAGGCTACCAGTAGAGGCAGAAAAGGTTACAAGTGTAGCCTGGAAGGCAGGGCCTCTTCTGCAA